GATCTGAACATTTTTTATCAAATGATATGTTTAAAATGTTAGTCTCTTTAAAAAGTAGTTATTGCTTTGAAAGGAGATTCACTGAATAAACCCCTTAAAAACAAGGTTCAAGAATTAAAACATTATTTTAGGTAGATTTTCGTTTTGTACATTCAAGATTTTCGAAGACAGGTTTTGTTTATGCAAGATGGTCATAAAAGAAAACATGGATTGAACAGAGACATTTTATCAATATTTATGCTTGTTAAAATCAATTGATTATTTTTATAAATTTATCCAGTATTGAAGTGAATATATCTGAACCATCTAACATTTCTGTATAATTAAGAATGTTAAATCGTGACATTTTCCGATTTCTGATTTTCATCTATTTCTCTATCAGACGTATAAAAGAAATATCACGAACAGAAAAACATTTAATTATTTCTCAAATGACGTAATAACTTCGTCGTAGAAAATAATCTTTCGCAAAGACATTTGATTTATCTAATTTGAAAATAGTGAATAAAGACAGCATTTCCTTTAATTTTGTTTCTGACATTCATTTATTCATGAGATCAAACGACGTTTTTTTTTACTGTATCATGTTAAGAAGTTGATTAAGAAAAAGTACTAGAGGAAACGTTCATTCATATCTAACGTGATTGAATAGCATTACTGAAAGGCAATATTATTCCAATACTAGCAAGACAGCGTTATCAGTAAACTGTATAATTATCTTTTGTAAATTAATACACATAATGATCCTAATGAGGAAATATAATAGTTCTCGTTAATACCAAAATTCTTTGATACGAATAGAAGTAAATTATACAACAGAGAAAAATAAGTTAATGCATATTTGATGTGACTCAAACTTACATGCTGGACATCATGTAAATGCTATGGGCAAATTTTTTAATGGACAAAAAGAAATATAATAGTGTTTTTGTAATCTTGTGTTACGTGTCTAGGAAAGTACTAAAAAAGTGAAGACAACAAGGTGTAAAAAATTAAACTGAATAATTTATTTCCCTAGAAAAAACAAGGCAAATATGACAAATGATTTACGGCTTAGGAATCAAGTCCAGAATTATTCCAAAAATTAAAAAAGTCCTATAAATAAAAAGTCCCAATGGAAATTGCAGTTCGAATCTCAATGAAATTCAAGATGGAAGGCGTTGACGTGTTCAATAGTCAGCTCTGTACTGATGTGTCAGCAGTTCTATGCTGAATCACAGAAAATATAATTCCAGTTTGGAATTCCCAATCATTTTCAATAAATGTCTTTGTCCAAGTATTTTGTAAGAAACATTTATATTCCAGGGTAAATAAGTTACTATTTTCAAACAAATGAAAATTCAACTCAAACTGTTCACACCAAAACACCTTTGTGTGTCGAAGGTTTAAAGTTTATCTTGCTATTTCTTCTTATAACATGAATTATAAGACTAACTAGAAAGAAGTAGAAACATTTACATGCTTAACATAACATACTCTAGTATGGCCTTAGTTAAAATCATTGGTTCGTACTTTCTACAAAAAAAACTAATTTTATAAAAGTTTTTTGCTCAATACTGATACTAATTCTGAATAATGGTCAGCAAATAAATACAGTATTTCTACTACTGGCTGTTTATCTGGTCAAACAGAGTAAATTGAATTTCTAACAAAATATCCAACACAGTAGACAAAATTATCATTACTTAACATGTAATGGAATAAAAAATGTAAACCTAACAAACAGACAATTTAATTATATATACATAACAATACCCCCATAAAAAAGAGATATATGATGAAGCTTTCTTTTCACCATAGATTAATTATACATTAAGTTTATAAAAGATAACATGAGAAGAATTCTTACGAATTGTTCAAAGTATACATGAAAACAATATTTCTAAACACGGGAAAGTTCATATGCTATTGAATTGTATTTTTCCTTGATGTGCATGATGTCAATATATTATTCCTGTAACAACGATCTCCAACTTAACAATCTCTGATTTTTGTTTTTCATCCTATCGATGAATGTATGTGGGTTGTGATCACTAAACACGATAATCTGAGAAGGAGATGAATTAATGCAAACTTCAAAATTTTGCAATGCTAATATTAAAGCCAAACATTTTTTTTTACGATTGTTAAATAATTTCTTTGGTGTTTATTTAATTTCTCAGAACAATTGCACACTGGATAATTAATACCATTTTTATATTCTTGAATCAAGCCTGCTACAACCTCAAAATTACATACATCAACAGAATGTATAAATGATTTACTTAAATTTGGAGCTGTAAGAACTGGTGCATTTTTAAATATGGCTTTTCTAACTTATTAAAAGCCTCCTGACATCCTTCAGGCCAAAGAAACTAGTATTTCTTGCTCAATAGATTTGTCATTGGTTCATCAAAGATGAAAATTTGGAACAAAATTTCCATTAATATCCAGCCATACCTAAAAATCTCATCCGTTGCTTTATACTGACAGACACGAGGAATTCGTAGCCTTGACACTAGCACCTGTAGATATATCCTGTCCATGTCCCACAATATATACTAGAAATGTTACACAAAAACAGCAGAATTCGCGTTTGGATAAAATAATTGTTAAAATTGCATCAGTGAGTCTGTCAAAGAATTTCCAAACTGGTGCTAAATGTTCTTTCCAGATGTCGTTGTATATAATAACATCATCGATGCAAGCATAACAATTATCTAGACCAGAGGTAATTATATTCATTAAACGTTGAAAAATACTTGGCAAACCATTCATCCAAAATTGCATCACTTTATATTGATTAAGTATATCTGGAGTCACGAATGCCGAAATTTCCGTTTCACTTTCCGTTAGTGCCAAAATCCTTTCAGAAGGTACAATTTGGTAACATACTTGGCATTTACAATTTTATCAATGCAGTCATCGATTTTTGGAAATAACCTATTTTTGTCACACTGTTCACCTTTCTAAAATTAGTGCATATACGGAAAGTTTTACCTGGCTTCGGAAAAAGTATACATGGTGAACTCCAGTCACTATTACTGGGCACCATAAAATCATTCTCCAGCAAAACCGAATTTCTTTTTTCAAGTATTCATATTTGAGAATGTTCATCCAGTTTGACTGTTGTTTCACAGAATTATACGTTACAATTTCAACGTCTGAAAGAAGTTTGTTCTCGTATAAACATCTGGAAAAAAAGTGCTCATATTGAAATAATAACTGATGAAGTTCATTCCTTTCTTGTTCTTGCAAATGTGAAACTTTCTGGTCCAGATTATTCATAATTTGTTTATTTAGAACATAATAACTCGTACAATTCACGTAGGAAACTTAAAAACCCTGACCCAAATCAACATTTACTCCTTGTTAAGCTGAATTAAAATATGATGCTAACTTCATACACATAGAAAATAATAAAGCTGTTATTAGTTGCTTTCACAAAATGAAAACACAAAACAACTTTTGAAAAAGTCAAAATTATCAAGCAGAAATGAACTAAATTTTGGCAAGATGAAGTCCATAATACAATATTACAATTCAATAGCATGTAAAAAGTTGAATTTAAAGCTAAAAAACCCAATTAAATAACAGTATGCCTTAACGTAAGGTATTAGATCCGAAATAATCGTCAGATCAACGAATACACAGAGTTTTATATAAACTAAGGTACATGGCAAGGAATAATCTTCACATCTACCTAGAAATAAGCAAAACTATTTTGTTAAAATAAGGTACATGACACAAAACAATCTTTAGTTCGAGTGTGATTGTGATTCAGATTTTCAACGTAGCTTTAATAATTTTTCAGTCATATCGCTACGATATCTGCAGTGTGACAGTTTATAGTGATTTCTACCACTGAGGCATCATAGGGTATGATTACCCACCAAGTTACATGATCCTGACACCAGGCCAACAAGTCCTAACACTGACCTCTTAAAGCTGAGCGCCAAGCGAGGCAGCTGTTGGTACCAGTTTTTAAAAAGTCTTTGGCATGACTCGTTTGGGGTTAGAACCAACGACCTCCCGCATCCGAGGCTTACGCTCTATCCACTAGGCCACCTGAAGTCGTTTGAATTATTATTATTATTATTATTATTATTATTATTATTATTATTATTATTATTATTATTATATATATATATATATAGAGAGAGAGAGAGATAGATAGATAGATAGATAGATAGATAGATAGATAGATAGATAGATAGATAGATAGACAGACAGACAGACAGACAGACAGACAGACAGACAGACAGATAGATAGATAGATAGATAGATAGATAGATAGATAGATAGATAGATAGATAGATAGATAGATAGATAGATAGATATCGGAAAAAATCTATGGCATCTACATATTTCAATAGGAATATTTCAGAGTTAAGGGTAAGCAATATATAATATGTTAGAACATAATTGAATAGTTTACTAAACATTATAATTTTGATCTTTAACGAAGTGTTACACGGCTTCTGATAGTAAGAGATTATCAGAAAAAAATGTTTTGCACCAATTGAATGCGTCTGATAGCTACAAACCAATTAATGTAAATAAGATCTCAAATGTCCTATTGAAGACCATTTATTTAATTTCATTCTCATTATGCAGTAGATCAAAGACGACTTACCCAAAAGGTACAAACCAGTTGATCCCTTTAATATACAACAATAAACACGATGCTTTTCATCAAAATTATTTCATTTCAATGAAGAGGATCGGAAGAGAACAGTTTTAACAGCTTCAGAGACAGCGTAGCTGTCATATATAGAGGTGTGTGGTGTTTATAATTTTTAACGTAGCTTTAACAATTTTTCAGTCATATCGCTACGATGTCTGCAGTGTGGCAGTTTATAGTGATATCTAGCAATGAGGCATCATGCCGCAGACATGTACCATGATGTCCCACCCAGTCACATTATCCTGACACCAGGCCCACCACTCCTAACACTAACCTCTTAATGCTGAGCGTCAAGCGAGGCAGCTGTTAGTACCATTTTTGTAAGTCTTTGGTATGACTCGACCGGGGATCGAACCCACGAACTTCCGCATCCGATGCGGACGTTCTAACCACTAGGCCACCAGAGCGGTTGGAATATACGTAAACATACACACGTGCATACATAAGATATGTGTCTATTTGGTACACTTTTTATAGAAATTGTCGAAAAATTACACTTTTCAATTATACAATTAGTTCGACGTGTTTTGTTTTTCTTTTCGCCCGCAATGCCCAGAGTCAATCCCAAATCCATGTATATCACCTGTTGATGTTCTTTTTATTAAATTAGTCACGTGTGCGGAAATTGTCAGATGCGTCACCTCAATATTTTGGAGCACTCGGGTGAAAAGGACATCATTACGATGATTTTGTTGACTGATTTAAAGAGTGGCATATCATTTTCTTTCTTTCAAACTTTGGTTCCATTTGAAGAATAGTGAAACCGGGCTTTAAGTACCAATAGTGACCAAGATATAGGAATTTGAAGGAATCCATGCGAATGCTTGTGTTATAAGATCATATTACACAGTGTACCTCTATTCTTAATCTATCACTAGTGTAGTTTGTGGTTATCATTGTATTTATTATTATTATTTTAACATTATTAAAAGTTGACCTCTAGTGGAATGAGTTTGGGAAAATCTTTGCGGCTGATACCAAGGACCGATTTACTTTTCTCACTGTTGACTTGACTTGTGGAAACGCATGTACCGCGTTGGTTTAAACAATTGTATATAACAGCAATAATAAAAAACCTCCCACTACGTCATAAGTGAGTATTCAGTAAAACATTTTCATAGTTATAAGATGCAACGATGATCAAACAAATGCTTTAAACCTCGTAACAAATTTAGAAAGTTGTGGAAAAATCACAACAGTGATGAGAATAGAATGAGGACCTGACCCAAATTCTTAGGACAGTCAGACCTATTGAACAGTTGTAGATTTTCACCATGTGAACCTATGGTCCAAGAAGAGGTGGCGGAGACAACAGCAATTTCCAATCCCAAATCTCGGATACCACAGCCTAATATATTTCTCCGAATTCGTAAATGCACTGACGGTATGTTTTAGATTGTGGCAAGCGTTTGGAACATTTATGAATCATGACTATATTATGGCATTTAAGCGACGATAAATCATATGGCAATTGGATTCAGGCTATATATGGGCAAAACGTCAAAAGCCTGCAACAGTAATATAAATTCTTATGAAGTGCACAAAATGTCGAAGATTATAGATGTCGACTCCCGAAAGAGTGTATGGAAGAACAACCACCGGAAGAAGAATACGTTGGTAAAGTGATACATGATTGTGCAACCACATATCACAAACTCGTGGGCATATTCGAATTACTCGTAGAATCAGTTGGTTCTGGCATTAACACACCAGAAGTTATTATTCAGCCCGCATCGATCTGACAACGTTTACTCACCAACTCTATCACAGACCCGACGACGTTTTCTGTGCTGACGCACAAATTCATTAACGACATCACTGATTTAGATAATGCTGTTGATGCTTTGCAGCCTGTAGTTCCGACACAACCCGAGTCACGTCGATGATTTACAATCTAATCAATGAAATAATAATTATATGCAGTATTCCAGCACCAACTATAACGGGGAAATTCTCCTCACTCGAGATCGCGTTAATGTTGCTGAAGGTTATTGTAGCTACCCTACTATTCGAACGAGGTTGTTTCGATGGTTGTCCGACAATAATTCGTTTTCATTTTCGTAAGATTGTAGCACTATCTGGAAAGCTGTTAAACTTCACTCGGACGAGTATGTGACTGAGTTAATCAATAGAAATATCCGACATATGCAAACGTTTTTGACTAAACACGATTCTAAAATTTGTATTTATGAACTACACTTTCTTGACATCACGATCTCATCCTCGCTAATGATATTGATCACTCGTTGCTCTTGGTTGGCATAATGAAATTAATACTATCCGGAGGATCTACGATTTCTTCATGATGGACATTTTGGTACCATTTACGCTATCCAGACAGACATTGTCAGAATTTCCACCACGCCACAGCCTAATCTGACCAGTGACGCTGTAAGTTGTAGCATCGACAACGCGATCGTTCCATGGTTCTTCATTGTTTGCGTTTTCCCCGACTAACTCCAGGGTGATCTGATATCGATTCCACCATACACCTGGTTATCTTCAGTGCAAAAGATCCAGATGGCGACCCTTGGTAAATCAGGGATCAAAATGATCGCATACAATGTATGGCGTAAGTAAACGTGTAATACCGGTGTGGGTTGTTAAGGCAAGAAAACCTATTGGTGTTGCTGATGTTTTCAAGGGATTTTTGTACAGATTTAGGAAACGTGCTGAAAGTCCAAGGAAATCTCGTACCCAGCCACAGCAGTAATGCATACGGCCCTTTTGGCAATATTGAGTTTTTCAAGTGAGATAATGAAAATGAACGCTATTTGGATATGGCTGACATTGCTAAAACATTTCTAGGACTCACCAGCTGACCACCTTTCCATGATGTTTAACAGAGACTCAATCACACATGCAGATTATCTACTGGTTACACCGCGACTGCATGTAGACCACGTATTTCCTCCAGCCGCTGCCGGTATAAAATATATACACTCTCCTAACCACAATTTAAATTTTGGCTTTGCAGCACGACGAAAACAGATTAAGATCGCGACCAGCTTCCTGCATGATTCCACTCTCACATAAATTAGGATTTTCCAGAGAGGTTTGAAGAAAATCAAAGTCAGGGTAATCAGCGTAAACATGTCAATAATACGGTTTGGGTACATGCTAATGCCCTATAAAAGCTGGGTTAGCCACACCAGGGACATTTCTTAAGGCAAATAAGTACCATACACGTACATTATTTAGGTCTTATTCTTACTTATTGTGAGTACGAAGTCTTTGCAGGCTTTGGAGAATCGATCCATACTTTCTTGCATGTCAGACTGAGTATCAGCATTCACAGAGCAGTAGTCAGCAAGGCGGAAGTCGCGAATGGTGTCTTCCAGTATTTTGGTCTTAGCCTGTAGTCTTCTCAGGTTCGAAATATTTACATCAGGCCTGAGCCAGATGTCAATTTCAATGTCACCCTCACAAAAAGCATAGGTATGCATCGCTGTGAACATCATGCTGAAGAGGATCGGGAAAAGAACGCATCTCTGCTAGACGCCGATTGTCACTGGAAAGGCCAGTGAGAACACCATTCTCCTGTACTCTGGTTAGCACGCCATCGTGGAACAATCTGACTATGGTGACTTCTCAGTGCATCTGAACTTTGCTATGATCATCCACAGACCTTCACGATACATAATGTCAAAAGCCTTATTGAGGTCCACAAAGGTGTTGTAGAGGCTGAAGTTCTGCTCTTGCCATTTCTTCAGGAGCTGACTGGATGCGAAGATCATGACCTTGCCTGAAGCCGCACTGACTTTCTGGTAGCAAGCCTTGCTCCAAGGGGACGGTCAGTCGATTCAGCAGAATTCTGGCCAGTATCGTCCCTTTGATGGATAATTGGGATATGTCACGGTGGTTGTCGCATGCCTGCTGGTTTCCCTTCCGCTTGTATAGGTGGACAATAGAGACATATTTAAACTCCTGTGTAGTCTTCTCCTGGTTCCAAACAGACTGGAAAAGGTCAGTAAGCTTCTGCGTCAGATGGGGATAACCAGCTACGTAGACATCCAATGGGATGGATTGAGAACCAGGGTCGTTGCCACTGGATAGACTTTTAATTGCATCTATACTTCTGTGACACTTGGCGAATCCAATAGGGACGCGTTCGTTGGGAACTGAAGCAGACAAGCGATGGCTGCAGCACTGATGGAGTAATGACGATTGAGAACACTCTCGAAGTGTTCTGCCCAGCACTTGAAAATCTCTTCCTTATCAGTGACCAGCATGTTCCCATCTGCACTGAGGAAGGGGAAGATTCTGAATTAGTGGGACCGTAGATTTTCTTGAACGCGTCGTAGTACCTCTTCATGTCATTACGGTCTTCATACGACTGGATCTTGTCCGCCTTCTTGCTCAGCCATGTGGCCTTCACCTGCCAGACCTCCCTCTTTGCACTGTTCTTCTGATATTGGCGAATGAAGCCTTCTTAGATTTGAAGTGCGGATTATTTTTATTAGCGCTCTGTGTGTGCGATGTTTCATCGTCGATATGTTATTAAATATTATCATCGTTATCATCAAATCATTCTTGGTGCTTGCGTGTGGAATGGCCTACCACATCGGCCGTAGTAGAGGTGACAACATTCCGAAGAGACGCTCAGTCAGAATCTCCATCATGTGAGCCTAGTCAGATGGCTTCCAGCTTGTTGTCTAGTTCGTATGGAAGTGATTGCTTCACTGAATGAATCATTTTTCACTTTCGAGACGTGCAGACGCTACATCGTCTTGCTTCCTTGAAGACGTGTAGAATGCTGTCTTCTGATGTTAAGTTTGGAGATGATCAACCTGTGGTCAGTCTAGCAATCGACTCCACGCATAGCCTTCGTATCTTTGAAGTCCTGCCTGTCTTTCTGTCGTACAATGACGTAGTCGAGCAGATGTCAGTGCTTGAAGCGTTGGTTCATCCATGACATTTTGTTGCGTAGTGGTAGGCGAAAGACAGAGTTAGTGATGAGCAGTTCATGCGCTGCACACGTTTCCAGCAGTAGGAGGTCATTGCCGTTACAGCTACTAATCCCAATTTCCCAATACTCCTTCCCAAGAGATGTGATCTGCGCCAACCCAGTCGATGAAGTTACTAAGGATGATGAGTACCTGTTTTGGGCACGGCAGCAATAGTGGATCTCATTTCATCGTAACAAATGCCTTGATCTCATCATGGTTAGTCAGAGTTGGGAGTGTAGGCAATGACTAGCGTTGCATGTCGCTTTCTTGGGAAGGCAATTGAACGGTCATCAGCCAATTGTCTTGTTGACTAGTTTGTTGACTAGTTTGTACTTTTTTGCAAATCCAATTCCATCCTAGCGACGTTCTTCCTCGCTGCGTCCAATCCAAAAGAAGGTGTAGCCTGCATTAACCTCTGGACTTAGTACCTGTTCAGCCCTCTGACAATAAAAGCAGTCC